GAGCCCCCACATGCTCCCAGCATCGCAAACAGGTGCGGGTGCTGCTCTGTGAGCAGCGTCCTTTGGTCTGGCCCCTGAGGCTCGGGGTGGGGTGGGGGGTGCCAGCCAGCTGGCATGCTCAGTGAGGCTGCTGGCTCCAGGCTGCCCTGGGGCTCAGGCTCCATGAGGAGGAACTGGAGCCTTGGGTGGGAGGTGGTGACCAGGTGTGGCCCAGGGAGAACTAGCTCTGGGGGCTGCAGGAGTCTCTGGGGAGGGGGTGCCCCCAGCCTGGTGACTGCATTCTCCAGGCTCTTACCTGGCTTCTCCGGGCAGCTCCCCAGGGCAAGCCCCTGCCGCCCCATGCCCTGAGTCTCAACCGACTCTGGGGTGCCTGTCGCCCGGGACCTGGGTCAGGTTGTGGGGACTCACCGCAGCCGGGCCCACTTAGCAGGTGGCTCTAGGCCGCGGCGCAAGACCTGGCTCACGCTGGAGAAACGCAGCGCTGTGGGCTGCCGGAGGCCTGCAAAGCAGGCAGCTCAGGGCGGACGCTCAGCCGGGGCTTAGCCGGAGCGGCGGGGGCCGGAGGCCTGAGCAGCCCAGGCGTGGGGCACCCAGGGTGTGGTGGGCAGGAGCTGGCTGAAGGGGAGGCCCGGAGCGGGGGAGGGCCGAGGGGCACCAGGCCCTCAAGATCTCTGCTCTCTCCTCAGTACGGCAAGAAGAAGCTGAAATACCTGCCCTACAACCACCAGCACGAGTACTTCTTCCTGAGTGAGTGCTCGGGGCCCTTCAGCCTCGCCCTGGACCCCAGGGCACCCCAGGGCTGGCCGCTGGCTCTCCTCCCACCGCATGCTCCTTCTGACCCAGAAAGTGACCCGAGTCTGCGGGGGAAGGGTGGCCTCCTGCGCCCCGCTCCCCGCCCCGGCCGGGTGCAGGCCGGCCCCCAGTGGCCAGACCTGGCCCGGGGTGTGGCAGGGTGTGCGGCCTGCCGACCCCACGGTGTCCAGGCTCCGTGGCCGCCGGGGCCCGGCGGTGTTCTGCGCGCCCTCTGCGCCCCAGCCGCTCCTGATCGCCGCCTCTGCTGTCCCACAGTCGGGCCGCCACTGCTCATCCCCCTGTACTTCCAGTACCAGATCATCATGACCATGATCGTCCGCAAGGACTGGGTGGTGAGTGGGGCTGTGGGGGGCGGGGCCAGGGCGGGAGCGCGCTGCGGCCCAGTGCTTTGGAGGGGCCTGCGGGAGCCCGGTCCCCTCCAGGGGCGGCAGCCCCTCTCTCCCGGAAGGGGCTGCTCCAAGCTGGCAGGGGCAGGGAGGCCGTGTCTTAGAGCTGCTGCTCGGGGGTGCAGGGGGCCCAGTGGGGAGCCACCACCTTGGCAGAGCCTCTCGGAAAGTTCCTGAAGGCGACGCCAGCCAAGCGTGACCACCCACCTGGCCACGGCTCTGCTCCGGCCCGAGCCCCCCGTGTACCCCTGCAGCCCTGGAGACCCCCAAGCCAGGTGGCGTAAATGGAGAGCAGCTGGGCACGGCGGGAGCCAGGCTGTGCGCCGGCTCAGCCGCCTCAGAGGCACTTTGTCAGCTGAGCGCTGCCTCGGCCCCGGGTCTGCAGGCCGGGAGCCAGATGTGCTGAGCCAGATGTGCTGGGCTGGGGGCGCGGGGGTGTGGCGGGGCCGGCCTTCTGCGTCTCTCCCATCACCCTTCCTCCTTGCTGTCTGGCTGTGTCCAAATTCCCCCGTTGTAGGACAGAGTCTTGGGTTAGGCCCGCCCTGAGGCCTTTATCTCAGCCCAGGACTGTTGCAGCCACCCTGATATGGCCTTGGGGTCAGGACTTCAGCGTAGGGGACAGGCCAGCCTGTGGCACTGGGCCCGACAGATTCTGCCTCCAGAGCGGGGGCCCCGGGGCCTCTACAGCCTGGTGCACGCTCCTGGCTTTCTGACCACGTGTGACCGTGTTCGCGGGGGCTGCTCAGAGGGAGAGGTCTGGACAGCACAGCCGGTCACCGCCTCGAGCCCGCTCGGCAGAGTGCAGTTTCCTGGGGCAGGGCTGAGCAGGTCAGCTGCGTTTCTCATGGCCACGTTGAGACGACAGCGGCCTCCTGTCCACAGGGCAGTGGGTGGGCAGGGACCAGGACCAGGGTCTTCCGACGCCACAGCCTGGACTTGCCCCTCAGCCCAGCCACCGGCCTGTGCGTGGCAGTAGCTCGTGTTTGGGGCACACGGCGAGGGCTTCAAGGCGTGTCCACGTCCGCAGCATGAGCCGGCCAAGTCTCCCGAGCCGCGCTGGGAATGCCGGGCCTGGGGGGGTGACGG